AGAAAACCTATGGAGACTTCAGCAATGGTACTGTGCTATTAGAGAAATGCTTTAATTTTCATATTCCAATCAGATGGTATCTTATACCCCAACTGGTTGGGGAGGGATTGAAAGTGGTAGTAAGTGCTGTACCAAGGGCCCTCACACTTGGTCATTCTCTTGAGAGCTGGGGTTTTCTCTGCAGGGGACCAGTGGAGGCCTGCAAGAGAGGCCTTGGCCTGGGCCAAGAGGCCTGGAGACTTGACCGGGAAGCAGCTGCTGCCCCTGAGGAGCAGTCAGCACTGTGTATGGAAAGAGAGAGAATGGCTAACGATACTCCATATTAAATTGCCTATTGTTTTTGCCACCTGATGTGTCTGCATGAGAGATTTCCTTTTTGTTCATTTTTAAGCTGCTGTTAAACCAAAACCATGTTGTGCTACTGTGTCAGCCTTTTCATTATTCCAAATTTTGCTTTTACTATTTAAGTGAATGCGTAGAATCCAGTTTGACAGTGTTCTAATGGCTCATGATGTTGTAGAATCGCCGGGGCCTTGTGACAGAGAAGGTGACTGGGCCATCGAATCAGCAGGTCAGGAAGTGGGGGCTGGTGAGAAGTGAGAGTAGGACCTGAGGCTCTGCATTGCAATGTGGCCCTTTACTCACCTGCCTGGGACATGGTGGGCTCAGCTGAGGCCCCCTCATGGGGCCACTGACAGGGATGGAGTTGCTTGCCTTCCCGTTCTATGCTGGGACAGCACTGGCCTTGGCCAGCCGTGTAAGGAGAAGTTGATTTGGTTTTCTTTTGCAGCTGCTTCATATGCTCTACTCTGGCCCCCTCACCCACAGCTGGTAGCTTACTGTTATTTCAAGGAGGAAGCCCACTTTCATGCTGTCACTTTGAGCTGGAGAGCCAAGATTCATTTACTGGCAACACATGAAACCTGTTGCCCTTCCCAGAATCAGATGGCAATGATTGTGGTCAAGTTTTTCTTTGACCACAAATTCAGGTGACAGGTGTGGCTCAGGCCCCTCCCCACCATGCTCCTTTGAAGCCACCGTGCCTCAGTCACCTCCACACTGGAGGCATGACACGGAGAAGAGAGTGAATGTGCTTGGCCCCTTAGGGTCTTGTTTCTAGGCCATTGTGTTATGAGCAGTGCAAATGACACCATGTTGAAGACACTTTGAGTGCTACCAGCCAAATTTAGGAAATATGGTAACAGTTCTCCTACCAGCATAATGAGGGTAACTGTAAAGTGTGGGGCCCAGATGAGGGTAAAGAAAGGGCAGCAGCTTTACTTGGGCCGTACACTGGATTGAAGGCAGAGAGGGTAAAGTGATGGCCGATTATGACTGATGAGGAGGGGTAAGCAGGGAGTGTTGATTTCACTGATGTTAAGTAACTGATATAAGTTTGAATGATACTCAACCCTCTACCCCTCCCAGGGAAATAAAGCAAAGATTCAAAGTAAGCATGACACTAGTTGGTTTACCAGTGTTCCTTCCAAGGAGACATATATTTTTTAATAAACGATAGTTGCAATGAACTGTGGCTCAGAGACCTTCTTGGAGTAGTTGGGAAGGAAGGGTTGGGGTCACAGCAGTGGGAAAAAATGTCTCAAACCACTCTTTGGGGGCCAAAAGGTTCTCTACTTAGTAATCATCAGCGGAACGAATCAGTTGTTCTCTGGATGGTTCTAGATCCCAGTGGCCATAGCAGGTCCTTTGTGAAAGTTATATTCGCAGTCCTCCACACAGGCCCCCAAATACTGCTTCAAATAGCACTGCCCTTGGTGGTGAAATGCTGACATTTCCCTAAAAGTACACAAGATTGGAGATGCCTGCTTCAGCAAAGTGGTTTGTTAAAGAAAGCAAGGGCCAAGTTAGCAGCAGAAAACTAATATGGTGAGAAAAAGCTGGCATACCAGCTACCAGTGTGCCCAGAAAGCATTGACAGCCAGGAGAAAATGAGGGGGAGGTGGGCCCAAAGGAGGCCCCAGCTGGTAGAGCAGGGTGGCTGTCATCCCTATAGCTCTGAAGAGAGGACGGGTGCTTAGATCACATATTTTTAATATGTTTTTTATTGACTTCAGGGGGAGGGAGGAAGGGAATGAGAGAGAGGAACATCAATGATGAGAGAGAATCATTGACTGGCCTCCTCCTGCATGCCCCCTACTAGGGATCAAGCCCATAACCTGGGCATATGCCCTGACTGGGAATCCAACTGTGACCTCCTGATTCATGGGTCGATGCTCAGCTGCTGAGCCATGTTGGCTGGGCTAGATCACGTATTTATAATATGGTTGATGTCACTGCAACTTGAGAGAAGCCTGAGGAAGTACTGTCTTAAGGTCAAGAGAGATGACTGAGCAGTCCCGATGTGTATGGGCTGGACCACACTAAGGATGATTATCCTTACCAGTTTGTGGTGCTTTACAATTTGCAGGGTGCTTCCTTCCACACATTCTCTCATTTGCTAGAAGGCAGCCTGACAAAAGGGAGTCCCCAAAGTGCTCTGTGGGATCTAAGGAAATCCTGCTCCTAAGTGCAAAGGGAACAAAGAGCTGGCCTGTAGCCACACTGTGCTGAGACTGTTCACAGCTGCTGTCCCTCCTAGAGGAGACACAGGTGAAGAAAATAAGCCCTAGCAACTTAGAACATTGAAGGCAGACATCCCCTGATTAGAAGCTCTGCTGTGACCTGATGGCTGGAGCCCCATCTTCACACAACATCCACACTGGGGTCTCTCACCAGTTTTGCTGCTGACAGCACAGCTCATGGCACTTCAGTTTCCTCCTCTGTAACAGACCTATGAGTATCATAGGATGATACTCATAACTACATACAATATCTGTTCAGGGGCAAATGTCCAACTTTATCCTAAGGTGGGAGTTCTTTGAGAAATTAGCTAATGAACACAAAATCTTTACCCAAAACAAGTGTGGAAGCTCTGCTCAAGATGACCCTCATAATGGATGCAGGAGAAAGTGGGAGTTGAGCTAGAGGGCTGGGAAGAGACTAGAGCAAAAAAGGATGGGACTCCAGCAGAGGGTCAGTACTGAAGACAATGGAGCCCTTTCCATAGGGACAAGGCCTGCCTGGTAACAACCACTAGAAGCCCAAGATGTCAGAGAACCTTGAAGAAATGAGCTGAGTAGGTGTTGGAAGAGCTGTTAACTTTCTCAAGGCCACCCAGCAGGAGTGCTGGGGTGCCTGGCCAGACATCTGGGTCTTGGCAGTACTCAGTCACACTGTCTCCCCAAGTTTTGTCCTTCATCTTTGTTTTGACCTAGGATTGTATGGCTTTGATTCTATGAATCCTTTTATCCATTCAGTCATTTCCTTTCACCTCTTGGACATTTAATTATCACCGCAAATAACTTTCTGGAGCTCACAATCCAATTTCCCCTCAAAAGCCTCTTTCCCCATCTATTCCAAGAAATAGCAGAACTGACTCCTGTAGACCTCAACTCCTCCCCAACGAACAGGGTCCAAGTGCACGAGCCTTGCCAGAGCACAGAAGGACCTCAGCGGGACTTGCTTTGCACAGCTGTGCCCAGTGTCAGGATGATACCACTGGTGCTTTGCATATTTGGCCGGATAAACTACCTGCCTGCCCTATCCCTCCCCTGTCACTGGCACTCTAACCAGAAGTATCTAACATACTTTGAAGGACTGGAAAGGGGGTGGTTTGAGAAGAAGGGTTCAGACCTGCCTGCTCGCAGTGAAGAGCATGAACAAGAGGATGTTTCTTGACTGGCCTTCCGGTGCCCACAGTCATCCTCCTTAGGATGGTCCTTCCTCCATCAGGCGTTGGCCTTTCTCTCTTGCTCATCTTTTTCTCTGTCCCCGTGTGTTCCTGCCACGAGTTTCCTGAATGCACCACAACCCTGTGTCTTTGCTCACACTTTATTTTCTGCCCATAAATGCCCTCACTGCCACCCCATCTTGCTTACCTAGAAGACTCCTCTCAATATTTTAAGACTCAATTCAAGAATTCTCCCTCCTGTATGGATGGAGCTGGAGAGCATTATGCTAAGCAAAATAAGTCAGAGAAAGATAAATATCACATGATCCCACTCATTTGTGGATTGTAATGAACAACATAAACTGATGAACAAAAACAGATCCAGAGACAGAGAAGCATCAATCAGATGCTCAAACCTCAGAGGAGAGAGAGGGGGTAAGGGGGGGGTGGTGGAGGGGGTAAGGACACATATATAATACCTTAATCAATAAAGAAAGGAAAAAAAGGAATCCTCCCTCTTTAAAGGCTGCCTTTCCTGAAGCATCACTTGTCTTCCCTCCCACCCCAGAGGTTGAACTGGCATTTCCATCCCTTGTGTTCTATTAGACCATGTAAGAACGTTTGTCATTGTTATTGTCAAAACAGCCCTATAACGTAGGTGCTCTTATTATTTTCATGTTGCAGATGGAGAAACAGGCACAAGGAGGTTACAGCTAAAAGCAGGCTGTCTGTCAAACACAGGCTGTCTGGCTGCAGCAGCTGTGCTCTTAATGGCTACACTGCGCTGCCTTTCACGCTGCCACACTCGGAGCTTTTTATTCTCCATCTCTACACGTGTCTTCCCCTCCTTGACTCTTCTGAGAGCAG